GGCCGGACGGCTCCCCTGCCTTGCCCTGCCACCCCGCCAGTCACTTACCTGCTGCAGGGAAGCATCGCTGGGGCGGGCAGGGGATCCGGGCTCAACCCTGTGGCCGTGGAGCTGCGGTGGGAGGGCTCCGCAGGGCAGAGGCTCGGGGGCATCTGTGGGCCTTGTGGGATTTGCAGACAACAAAGGGAGATGGGTGGGCAGAACCCGCCCGGGCGGCAGGGAGGCAGACAATGGGGCGGGGGTGCTGACGGGGCAGAGGGCGCCCACGGGACTGCCGCTGATCAAAGGAAGGGGGTTAGCACAGACAACAGCCCTCAATACCCCTCCCCCGGCCGCAGCTGCAACAAACAAGCCGTCGGGATCAACAGGGAGGCAGGAATGTTCTGCACTAGGCCAGCAAGAGCCAGAGACCAGGGCATCTGCCGTCACCCCGAGCCCCCCACACACAGGGAGGAGCCCCCCACCCAGAGCACACTGAAGGGAAGTGAGGATAATGTGGGCCGTGATGGGGTCAGAGTGTCGGTGGCACCACTGCCCTCTACTGGACAGAATCAGGGCCACTTAGTGCTCTGTGTGTGTCATGCACCCTATATTGCTAGCAGCAATTAGGGATCCTCCTGGAGCTGAAACTGGTGGAGGCCTGGTGCCTTCACAAGGTGCCATGATAGCACCTTGCAGTGTCCTGGGAGCCGGCTCAGCGGCTCTCTTGCGCCCGCCTGCCATGGAGCTCAAGTCGGGGTCACTATCGACTATGCCAGGGCAGCTTCACAGTCCCTATCGCTGCCAGCCTCATGAAGCGGTAACGTCGCCTGCCACTTGCATGCAGCCCCCTCTGGGGTGGAGCGCGGCAGCTGTGGCACAGCCCAGGGCAGGTGAGGGAGGAGCGAGCGAGGGGTGGGGAATGCTTGCAGCTCAGCCCAGACAATCCCCCGCCCCGAGGCCATGCCAGTAGGCCCCACCCTGCCAGGAAAGCTGCCCACGGAGCATGCCAAGTCCCCTCACTCCCAGCTCCCCATTTCCCACGGGCGTAGACGGCCCTTCCCTCGTTTGTGACCAGAGACGGCGGCGCACAAGCAGCTGGAACTGCCGGCACCGCTCGGCAGGGCTGCTGCCCACACTAAAGGGGCCCAGGCATCACTCACGGGCAGCAGCTGAGGTCTCCAGCAATGCCTCCTGGCGGGTCAGCACGGCCCCTGCTCACGGGGAGAGTCAGGCCTGTAGAAGCCTCCCCTTGGCTGCCTACAGATCGCCCTTGCTCGTGGCGTTGGGGAAACACGAAGCTGCCAGGAAAGGCCGAGGCTGCAGACCCCTGCAGGCGAGGAGGGGAGCTAAGGGCCAGTCCCGTCTCCATGAGCTGAGGAGGGGGCGATAGCTCAGGAAAGGTCCACGGCCCCTGCTCACGGGGAGAGTCAGGCCTGTAGAAGCCTCCCCTTGGCTGCCTACAGATCGCCCTTGCTCGTGGCGTTGGGGAAACACGAAGCTGCCAGGAAAGGCCGAGGCTGCAGACCCCTGCAGGCGAGGAGGGGAGCTAAGGGCCAGTCCCGTCTCCATGAGCTGAGGAGGGGGCGATAGCTCAGGAAAGGTCCGATCTGTGTCCCGCCGGGTCAGCCCACGCCCCCTTCCAGCTGCGCTGCAAGAGTCCCTCCTCAGCTGGTAGCAGTAGTAAGTCATTATCCTCTTCCTGCCCAAGTTGGGGGCGCTGTGTGGAGCGGCCTGCCTTCCAATTGGACCCCAAGAAGGGGGCCTGGTGTGAAATGCACCTGTCCCTAGATTCACTCCTATCTGACCTATTGCCAGACACCCCCCGCTAGCCATCCCCACACCCC